CCTGGAAAAAATCCCAGGAATTTCCTGGAGGAAATCCCAGAATTCCCTGAGAAAAAAAATTCCAGAATTCCCTGGAAAAAGATTCCCAAAATTCCCAGAAGGAAAAATCACAAAAACCCTTGGAAAAACCCCAGAATTCCCTGGGAAAAAAATTCCCAGAATTTCCTGAAGGAAAATCACAAAAAAAATCCCCGGAAAAATCCCAGAAATCCCCAGGAAAATCCCAGAATTTCCTGGGGGAAAATCTCAGATTTCTCAAGGAAAAAAAATCCCAGAATTCCTTGAGAAAAAAAACCCCCAGAATTCCCTGGAGGAAAATCACAAAAATCCCTGGAATCCCAGAATTCCCTGGAAAAGACATCCCAGTATTCCTTGGAAGAAATCCCCCAATTCCCTGAAGGAAAATCCCAGAATTCCCTGGGAAAAAAAATCCCAGAATTCCCTGAAGGAAACCCCAAAAATCCCAGGAAAAAGCCCGGAATTCCCCCCCAACAAATTCCCTCCTCCCCCCTCCTTTCCCTTTTTCCCTTCCCCCATTTTCCCCGGGATTTTTTCTGTAAAATTCCTGGAATTTCTCCCTTTTCCGGCGGCTCCGGAATTCCCGTTGGGAATTACCTTTGGCGGGATCTCCCAGGGATCGCAGGGAGCTGCTGTTGACGCGGAGCCCGCGCTGGCACACCGCCCTGGCCTGGAAAACAAGGAAAAATCCGCTTTTCCCAACTTTTTTTCCCGGGATTTGGGAAAAAAATCGAGTTGAGAAAGCATTTTTGAAGGGTTAAAGGGAATTCCCGATCCTTGGAATTTTAAAGGATTGGAATAACAATGGGAATATCCAAAGGGAGGGAGGAAAATTCGCCTGCGGGATCCTGGATTTGCCCAAAATTAAATGGAATTAAAATGGAATTTCCAGCGGATTTCCAGATTTTCCCCAAATTAAATGGAATTAAAATGGAATTTCCTGTGGATTCCCAGATTTTTCCTAAATCAAAATGTAATTTCCAGTGGATTCCCAAATTTTTCCTAAACTTAAATGGAATTTCCTGAGGGATCCCAGATTTTCCCAAAATTAAATGGAATTAAACTGGAATTTCCTGTGTATTCCCAGATTTTTCCCTAAAATTAATTTAAATTCAAAGGGAATTTCCGGTGAATTCCCAGATTTTCCCAAAATTAAATGGAAATAAAATGGAATTCCCAGTGGGATCCCAGATTTTTCCCTATTAAATGGAATTAAAATGGAATTTCCAGCAGATTCCCAGATTTTTCCCTAAATTAAAACGAAATTTAAAAAAATCTCCCAGGAACCAAATAATTCCAAAGAATATTTCCAAAGAATTCCAAACATTCCTAAAGAATTTCCCATTATTCCAAATATTTCCTAATAACTCTAAAGAATTCCAAAGAATATTTCCTAATAATTCCTTGTAATCCCACAGCCCAATTCCCAAGTGGAATTCCCACAATTCCAGAGCGGGATTCCCGTTATTCCCGTTGTTATTCCCATTATTCCCGTTGTTATTCCCATTGTTATTCCCATTGTTATTTCTGTTGTTATTCCCATTATTCCCGTTGTTATTCCCATGTGGGATTCCTGTTATTCCCGTTGTTATTTCTGTTGTTGTTATTCCCGTTGTTATTCCCGTTGTTATTCCCATTATTCCTGCTGTTGTTATTCCCACTGTTGCTATTCCCACTGCTGCTATTCCCGCTGTTATTCCCGTTGTTCCCATTATTCCCATTGTTATTCCCATTGTTATTCCTGCTGTTATTCTCATTATTCCTATTGTTATTCCCGTTGTTATTCCCGTTGTTATTCCCGCTGTTTATTCCCGTTGTTATTCCTGCTGGTTTTCCCCCTTGTTATTCCCATTATTGTTATTCCCGTTATTGTTATTCCCGCTGTTGTTATTCCTGCTGTTATTCCTGTTGTTCCCATTATTCCCGCTGTTATTCCCACTGTTGTTATTCCTGTTGTTATTCCCGCTGTTGTTATTCCCATTGTTGTTACTCCTGCTGTTATTCCCATTGTTATTCCCGCTGTTGTTCCCGCTGTTCATTCCTATTATTCCCGTTGTTATTCCCGTTATTCCCGTTGTTGTTATTCCCACTGTTATTCCCGCTGTTGTTGTTCCCGCTGTTGCTGTTCCCGTTGTTGTTATTCCCGCTGTTATTCCCATTATTCCTGCTGTTATCCTCGCTGTTATTCCAGTTGTTATTCCCGTTATTCCCGCTGTTGTTATTCCCGCTGTTGCTGTTCCCGTTGTTATTCCCGCTGTTATTCCCGCTGTTGTTATTCCCGCTGTTGTTATTCCCGCTGTTGTTATTCCCGCTGTTGCTATTCCTGCTGTTGTTATTCCCGCTGTTATTCCCGTTGTTGTTATTCCCGCTGTTATTCCCGCTGTTGTTGTTTCCGGTACCTCGTCCTCGCGCTCGAACAGGAGGAAGGCGAAGCTCTCGCGCAGCTCCTCGGGGCTGTACCCGGCCGCCGCCTTGGCGCGGGCAAAGGCTCGCAGCTGGAAAATCCCCGGGATCCCAGATCCCCACAGATCCCAAATCACAACAGATCCCAACAGATCCCGATGGATCCCAAATCCCAATAAATCCCAAATCCCAACAGATCCTGACAGATCCCGGCTGATCCCAGAGGATCCCGGATCACTGCGGATCCCAAATCCCGGCAGATCCCGACAGATCTCAAATCCAAATAAATCCCAAATCACAACAGATCCCAATAGATCCCAGCAGATCCCAGCATGTCCTCACAGATCCCAGATCACCACAGATCCCAAATCCTAACCTATCCCAATGAATCCCAAATCCCAACAGATCCCAATGAACCCAAATAAATCCCAAATCCCAACAGATCCCAATGGAACCCAGAAGATCCCGACGGATCCCGGATCACCATGGATCCCAAATCCCAACCTATCCCAACGGATCCAAATGGATCCCAAATCCCAACCTATCCCAACGGATCCCAAATCCCAACCTATCCCATCGAATCCAAATGGATCCCAAATCCCAACACATCCCAAATCCCAACACATCCAGACGGATCCCAAACCCCAATAAATCCCAGATCCCCAAAGATCCCAAACCCTAACAGAGCCTGACAAACCATCCCGACGGATTCCGACAGATCCCAAATCCCAATAAATCCCAAATCCCATCAGCTCCCGACAGATTCCTTACAGATTCCCAACCGATCCTGTCTGATCCCAACAGATCCAAACCGATCCCAGATCCCAAGAGAACCCAACAGATTCCAAATCCAAATAAATCCCAAATCCCAACAGATCCTGATCAATCCCAAATCCCAACAAATCTCAACAAATCCCAACAGATCCCAAACCCCGACATATCCTGATCAATCCCAAATCCAAACAAACCCCAAACTCCCAACAGATCCCAACAGATCCCGCTCAGTCGGGCTGGGAAAATCCCAGGAGAGGAGCAGAGCTGGGAGCGATCCCAGAAAAGCTCGGGATTAATCGAAAGGATCGGAGCAGGGGCTCAGGGAACGGCTCCGGATTTTCCTTTCCTGGGTTTGAAATCCAAGGATTTTCAACCTTTTCCAGGATTTTCCAAGGATTTGGGAAAGGCCTGGAAGGGCAGGAGCCAGGGAATGGCTCCAGATTGGAAAAGGGGAGATTGGGGTGGGATTTGGGAATTCCCAGAGCAGCTGTGGCTGCCCCTGGATCCCGGGAATGGCCAAGGAAGGGTTGGAGCAGCCTGGGATGGGGGGATTGGAATGGGATGGGATTGAAGGTGCCTGGATCCCATCCCAAAGCATTCCGGGATTCTGGGATTTGGGAGGCTCCGAATCCATGCCGAGGGATTCTTCTGGGAAATGGGGATGGGAAAGAGAGGGAAAGGGAAGGGAGAGCCTTGGTGGCTTCCTGAGATTGCAAGGGAAGGCCCTGGGTCCATCAATTCCTTGGAGAGGAGATGGATCCAATGTCAGGCTCTGGAGCCAGGCTGGGAGAGCTGGGAATGTTCTCCTGGAGAAGGGAAGGATCCAGGGAGAGCTTCCAGCACATTCCAGGGCCTGGAGGGGCTCTGGGAGAGCTGGAATTTGGGAAAGGCCTGGAGGGGCAGGACACAGGGAATGGGGATTTTATTCCCAATGGGGATGGGAGCGCGAGGAACAGGAAGAAAAAAAAGCCGGGAATGGCGCGAGGGGCTCTGTGAAGAAATTGACAATCCCGAACTTCCCCAATCCCATTTTTTCCCGGAATTCCAAGCTCACCTCGCTCCGGAAGAGTTCGTTCTCCACCAGGATGGCCTGGCTGTAGCGGAATCCCTGCTGGGAGCCGGAATCGCGGCAGCAGCTCCGCAGCAGCTCCACCGCCCGCTCCAACAGCTCCTCGGATTCCGCCGGAAAACCTGGAAAAGGTCAGGAATCTTCACTTTGGGAATGTCCTGAGGGGGAAAATCCTGGGGGTTTCTGCTTTGGGAAGAGGGAACCCGGATTTTATCCAAATAAAGAAATTCCTGGATTTTTTTTTCCCCCAGATTAATTTAAATTCCAAGGGATTTCCAGTGGGTTTCCCTAAAATTAAGTGAAATTAAAATTGGATTTCCAGTGGATTCCCAGGTATTTTCCCAAAATTCCAAGGGAATTCCAAGTGGATTCCCAGATTTTCCCAAATTTAATTTAAATTCAAAGGGAATTTCCAGTGGATTCCCAGATTTTCCCCCAAATGAAATTAAAAATCATGAAAATAAATTAAAAGATTAATTAATCAAAATTAAATAAATTAATTTTAAAATTAAATTAAATTCCCTTCCAGCAGATTCCCAGATTTTCCCAAAATTCAAAGGAAGTTCCCAGTGGATTTTCCCAACATTGATTTGAATTCCCAGGTTTTTTTCCCAAAATTAAATTAAACAAAATAGATTAAAAAATTAAATAAAATCAATTAATTAAAATTTAATAAATTAATAAAAAAATTAAATTAAATCCCCTTCCAGCAGATTCCCATATTTTCTCAAAATTCATTTAAATTCAAAGGAATTCCCAGATTTTCTCAATATTAAATTAAAATTAATGAAAATCAATTAAAAGATTAATTAATTAAAATCAAATAAATGAAATAAGTTAATTAAAAAGTTCAATGAAATTCCCTTCCAGCAGATTCCCAGATTTTCCCAAAATTCAAAGGAAATTTCCAGTGGATTTTCCCAGATTTTTTCCCAAAATTAAATTAAAGGAAATTAATTTTAAAATTAATTAGTAATTAAAAATAATTAATTTAAATTTAATTTTATTTAAAACTAAATAAAATAAAGGAATTAAAATGAAATAAATTAATTTAAAAATTAAATTAAATTCCCCTCCAGCGGATTCCCAGATTTCCCCAAAATTCAAAGGGAATTCCCAGTGGATTCCCACTTTTTCTGGAAAAATCCTGGAAAAATTCTGGAAAATACGGGAATTTTTTCCTCAGTGCAGCTTCCAAATTAAAATCCAGGAAAGGGGGGAAAAATAATTAATGATTAATAAATTATTAATTAATAAATAATCAAATTAATGTGGCCACGCCCCTCAATTCCTGCTTGGATTTAGGGAAGATTTCTCCCAACCCTAAGGAAAAGAATTCCCAGGAAAAGAATTCCCAGATCTCGGTACATCCCAGGGCAGGAGGAGAAGGTGAAAGTGAAAGTGACCAGAGCAGAAGGGAAAGTGAAAGTGAGAAACTCGGGAATGGAAATGGATCTGTGGGGAAGATCTTGGGAATTAAAAACTTGGGAATGGCAATGGATCCACGGGGAAAATCTTGGGAATGAGAAACTCGGGAATGGCAACGGATTCCTGGAGAAAAACTTGGGAATGGCAATGGATCCACAGGGAAAAACTTGGGAATTAAAAACTTGGGAATTAAAAACTTGGGAATTAAAAACTTGGGAATGGCAGCAGATCCATGGGGAAAATCTTGGGAATGGCAATGGATCTGTGGGGAAAACTTGGGAATTAAAAACTTGGGAATGGCAGCGAATCTGTGGAGAAGATCATGGGAATTAAAAACCTGGGAATGGCAGAAGATCCGCAGGGAAAACCTTGGGAATGGCAGCGGATCAGTGGGGAAAAACTTGGGAATTAAAAACTTGGGAATGGCGGAAGATCTACAGGGAAAATTTGGGAATAAGAAATTTGGGAATGGCAGTGGATCCATTGGGACAAACTCAGGGAATGGGATCAAACAGCACGGTTGGCACAGGCCTGGAAAAGGCCTGGAAATTCCAGAGGGGATTATCCCTGTCCTGAAATCCCTGGGAATTCCTGGCATGTCCCAGAGCATTCCCAGCCTTTTTGCCTGGAATCCGAGCAAGGAACTCTGAGCTTCCCCTCCAGGGAATGGCGGAATTCCTTGGAGTTCCCAATCCAAGCCTCCTCTGGCTCAGCTGAGGCCACGAACTTCCAAACTCCAGGAAAAACTCCAGGAAAAATTCCAGGCTTTGGAAGCGTGGGATTTGCCTTTTTTAGGATTTTTTAAAGTTAGAAAGAATCCCCAAAATTCCGTGATCCAGCAATTTTTCCAAGCTGGAATATCGGGAATCAGCAGCAGGATCAGGGATCCACATCCCACTGTGGATTTCCAGCAAACTTTGGGATAAATCCCGGAGATTTTACCCTGCCTTGAGTATCTCAAACTCCAGCTTGTGATTTTCCAGAGGTTCCTTGGGAATGTCTTTCCCAAATTTTTTTGGAGTCCAATTCCCTCCATCCCGAATTCCTCCTTTCCCCGTGGGAGATCTCCCAGAAAAGTCGGGGTCTTCCCCCGGCTGATCCAGGGATTTTTCCTTCTCCGGCTGATCCCACTCCCAGGAACATTTCCCAAAATGGGAATTTTTTTTGAAAATTGGATATTTGGGAAAATTTTCCCACCTAAAAAGAATGGGAAGAGGTTGCCCAGAGTGGCGGGGGGGATGACAAAACGGGAATTGAGGGTTGGGAATGCTTGGATTGGATTCCCGAGGGATTTTTCCAACGTGAACAAGTCTGGAACTTCCCTTTCCCAGTTTTTCCCAGCTGTTTTTCCCACCCCAGGAAACAGGGAATTATTTTAACCCTGGATTTGCCAGTGGCCAAGAGATCCCACCTTGTTTTCCACGGGAATTTCACCCAAGGGCTGGGATTTTCCAATAGTTTTCCAGGATTTTCATGAAAAAAGCCTTTTTTTTCATGGTTTTTCCATTCCAGATTGGGGTTGGAACAAAACCTCTGGAATAAAACGCTGGAAGCTTCCAGGTGAGGAATAAAAAAACATCCACAAATGCCAAGATCCCGGTTTTTTTTCCCCTCTGGAAAATTTCCATGAGTTTTCAGGATGCAGCTCCACATTCCTAAATTAAATTCTCCTGAAACTTGGGAATTCTATGGAATAAAATTCCTTTTTGCTGATTTTAAGGGATTCCCAATCCATGGATCGAGTTTTCCATTCCCTGTGGGATCGGGAATGAGGATGTGGAAGGCGCTGGATGATTTTCAGGGCCTGACAGGATTTCCTTGGATGGGATTTTGGGAATTCCTGGAATTTTTTTCCAGAGCGCTGGAACCTTCAGATCTCCAAATCCCATTGGATGGGAATTTTTTGGGAATTTTCTCAAAGGAAGGGGAGGATCCAAACAAAAAGAATTCCAAAGGAAACGTTTCATCCAGGAGGGAAAATTAAAGGGAAAAAAAAAACCCAAAAACCTCCTTGGGAGGATGAGGTTGGATGAGAAATTGGAATTTTTCCCTCTGGAAAAGGGAAAAAAATCTCCTCAGGGTGGGAAAAGCTTTCCAAGGATTTCCTTTTCCGACCTCCCCGCTGCTCCTTTCAGCCGCTGGCGGAATTCAAAATGCGCTTTTCACACGTTAATTGGTAAAAATCGTTTTTCTCGGGAATTTTTATCCCAAAATCCTGGTTTTTGTCACCTCACAAAGGTTGTGGTTTCACTCAGGTGATGCCTGATTCTTTCCAAATCAGCAGCACAGGAATTTTGGTGCTTGGAAAATTTAAAAAAAACCCAATTTTTTGTTTGCAAAATTGGCCAGTTCAGTGATTTTCCATGGAGCTTCCTCCTTGAGGAAGAGAAATTCCCTTCAGGAAAAGAGGAGGGAAAAAAGAATCCAAATAAATTCCTTATGGATCTTCTGGCTGGGGAAATCTCACCCTGAGAATTCCCAAGAAAAACAAGGAAAGCCAAGCGTTTGAATCCAAAAATTCCCTCAGAATTAGCGGGGTCTCAGCATCCAAAAAAACCCAAAAAACTGGGAAAAAAAAAAATTTATCCCCCCCCAAAAAAAGAATTTATGCCGCAAAAAATAATTTATCCCAAAAGAATCAATTTTTCGCCTTCTACTTTCAAAGGGATTCTAACGTGGGATTTTAAGGAATATCGAAGGTGAAGATCTGGGAATGGGAAATATTCAAATCAAAGACTTGGAATAAATCCCAATATATTCTGAGTAGCCCCCCAAAAAATCCGGATCTTCCGGATCATTTTTTTTAGGGAAAAAAACCACTCCAAGCAGTTTTGTTTCCATGGAAAAAGGATTTCCAGTGATTTTTGTGCCATCCAACCTCCTGCTCATTCCATTTTTTTCCCAGATTATTCCCCCTGGTCCGATCCAAACCTTTCTGGGATAATTTCAGGACAATCTGGGATTAGAATTCCACCAAACCGGAGCGCGAAAAGTGCTTTTCTCCCTTTATAAAGTCAAATTTCAGCCTCGGGAAAGGGGAATTAAGAAGCTTCCAGTCCCTTCAGGAAGGGATCAGCGCCCATCCGTGTTTTATTCCCAAATTTCCACTCAGGAAAGGCACCTGCTCGCCAAAAATAAAATAAAAATAAAATATCACTGTGACTTTCCCAGCTGCTGGAACCATTGGAAAAGCCAACGTGGCTCCGGTGATGGAGAAAAATTCCCCGGTTCCGACGTGGCCGGGGCTCGGCAGAGGGGCAAAGGCGGCCCGGCCTCTCCTCGGCTTCCCCGGGGCTCGGTGGGGAACCGGGAGCTCTCGGTTATCCAGGGAAGGGCAGCATGGAGCCGGGAAATCTCCTTTTCCCCTGGGATGGAGCCGTAACCCTTTGCTTCCCAGAGAAGGGTGGGATGGAGTCGGTAATGCCCAGCCGGCTTCCCTCAGGGCACGGCGGGATGGAGCCGGGATCCGTGCTCTCCTTTAGGAAGGGTGGGATGGAGCCGGGATCCCTGTTCTCCTTTAGGAAGGGCGGGATGGAGCCGGGATTCCCCCGCTCCCAGGGAAGGGACGCATGGAGCCTCTCGCCTTCCCTTCCCTCACGAAGGAGCGGGATGGAGCCGCTCGCCTTCCCTTCCCTCAAGGAGGAGCGGGATGGAGCCGCTTCCCTTTCCTTCCCTCAAGGAGGAGCGGGATGGAGCCGCTCGCCTTCCCTTCCCTCACAGA